TTGACGGAACTTTCACGAACTCATCGCGAATTAAAAGGGGGGGTTGCCTCTTTTTTTTTGGACTCTCGAGTGAACAATCGCGCTCACGCGTGAACTCCGGAGCCGATGCGGTTCTTTTTTCCCGACGAGAGTTCCGGAACTTCATGAGTTTCCAGGATTTTCGGAGACGCGAAAGTACTTGTACTTGTTCCAGGGACTCAACATGTAGCTTGCCCAAGTGTGAAATCACAGAACCGAGTTTAATAAATTAGATACAGATTAAAGTATCTAAGATGTCTCATGTAAAGGGATCCAAAATATCGTAAACAATTATTTGAATTAAAACATTATTTGAATTTAAAAATTGTCACACAAAGTTTCAGAAAAGCATTGAAGCAATCTGAATAAATTCTGCATATATCTTGTCTCGTTTCAGCACAGGGGTATGTGTTTTCCTCAGTGGCAGCGGCGATAGAAGTACCAGTACTGAAAGTACTAAAAGTACTGAGAAGTACTAATGGGAACCTGCTGCATTACATCGATTCACCACATGTTATAATGAACACGATGAAGAAATCGTTCCGGTTCTTCTCTGCTGTTGCTCTCGTTTTCCTTTGAAGCATAATGCTGCGCTGAATTTCTGCACGAACTCGGTGCGGCAACAATATTTCGCTGCTGTTTTATTTCAGCGAATTCCGCGAGGCGCAAAGAGTCGCGAAATTAAATCTGGTGCGAAACATTTCCGGGTTTTTCCACCAGCCGATGAAACGTCCGTGGACTCGTTCCTTTAATGAGATGCAATTCATTCATGCCTGGAACTCGTTTCGTAGCGCCGCGACGTGGGAGAGCCCCTTGCTCCCCGAGGCTGATGGGGAGGGAGGTTCAAGCGTGGGGCAACTTGACAACTGAATGACATTCCCCCCATTCATGGATTCCTCTTCAGTCCCTTTCTGACCTCCATGGAGAGAGGAGGGGAGATGAGCGACTCGAGCGTCTGGGAATGGTCTCCCTCATCATCCCTGAGTCACCCTCATCCAGTACTCATATGATGGTACTTAGATACTTATAAAGTAAACGAAGAGAATGGCCTTTGAAAAGAAAAAAGCATGTCCTTTGTCTCTTTCGATGCTAATTTATTTTCTGCCCATTTTTAAGGCTCTTTTTGCATGAAAACATTCATGATTTCATCTAATCGACAGAGAAGTGCAAAATAGTCAAGTTTGGCAGACCATTCAACATCAAATAGAAAATAGTGCTCTAAAAGCATCAATGAAAAAAGGAAATTAGTTCCGCTAAGGTTTGTCGCAAATCCAAATTCCGAAAGTAATTTCAAACATTTGGCACATGTGCCATTCCGCATCAAGAAACCCGATTTCGCCCAGTGCGAAGTCGCCCACGAGTGCATGCTCCTTGGAATGAGGAACGGTTGAGTTATAACCGCCAATCGTGCAGGAGTTTAACCCTTAAGCGCTCGTTGGTGTCTCTGGGACGCAAAAAAAAGGGACTTTTAAATGTTTCCAAATGATGGCAGCACTGGGAAACTCGAGACCTCACATAAATTCAATTTCTCACGAACCAAAACTACGCTCGTATTCGTCGGAACGCTTGCTAATTGAATGTTTGCGAAAAGTGGGAAAAAATTTGATTAACTTTTTTCTATATACGAAGGCTTTTTTGTTTAGCAGTTTCGGAGAATGTTAATGCAACTTTTCATTTATTTAAATTATTATGGTGTCCTTGACGGGGTTGATTGGCCTTGAGACAAAAATATGAGACGACATAATGGTTGCCGAGATGCCCGTCCCTCAGCTTCCACTTAGAGCAGCTTCTTAATTTTAATTATTTTGCCGAAAAATAATTAGAAGTCTGAGAGGTTGCTTAATGGGAGCAGTTAATAATAAGTTATCTCTTGCCTCTTTTTGGGGCGATTTCGATTGCGAAATATTCTTGATAAGCAGGTTCGTAAAAATGTCACCTAATGAAGATTTAGAGACTATAGACTTCTCCGGGCCTGTCTCGTCGTGACTGATTGGAACAAGCGCGACGGGAACAAGTGCGAAGAGAGGCAGCTTTCAACACTTGCCTCATTGGCTTTATCGGAGCCGAACAGGGGACAGGGGAAATCGAAGGGACAGGGGAAATCGAGGGGACAGGGGAAATCGAGGGGACAGGGGAAATCGAAGGGACAGGGGATAGTTCCATCCCGACGCTGCGCACATTCCCCGGTGGTTCACTCGGCGAGGTGATCCTCGAGGGGAATCATCTCGCCTCGCCTCGGTGTCTTTGGCCGAGTTCATACTCGTGCTGTACAGCATGCACAGCCGCGGCAAAAACCAATCCAATACGGGCATATTGCATTGGACAGTGTGCAGCATGCCGTACAGCACGAATATGAACTCGGCCACACGCGGAAACGAGGTTGTCAGTCCTCCTCACGAGAGTCATCTGGTGCGGGTCGAGTGAAGCTCTCGTCGAATGGTCCGTGTCCGTGTCCGTGACCGGGATCCGGCCCGTGTCCTTGCAACTCGTCCGTTTTCAGGTGAGCGCGACGGGTCGGTGGGTGGCTTGTCTCCAGCCAGGCAAAAGGTGAGAGGATGGGGAAATGCGGGAGGGAGACCCTCCGCAGCCGAGGTTTATCGACGCTCTAAGCCCAGGCGACCTTGAACCGGCAGAATCAAGGGCAACGGGCCAGAGGCCGGTTTCTTTATTCTCCCATTCCCCCCTCGCTCCCCGCACCAGCTGTCACGTTCGATCCAGACGGTCCTCCTCCCTCCCGGCTTCTCTCTCCGATCATCCCCCCATACCCCATCGTCGTGTCTTCCTCGATTTGCTCTGACGTCATTCCGCCATGCATCCCATCCTCCGAAAGTTGCTGGACGTCGTCAAGTACTACATCTATGATATTCCGGCTGCCTTCTTCAGGTAAGGCTAGCCTCCCATATTCGCACGTGGAAGTCGCACTAATTTGGACGCTAGGGGGGGTGAAATCGTTTCGCATTCAAATATGAACTGCGTAATTCATGCACGACGCCAGAAACGTGTTTCGGCAAAGGGGATGCCTGGTGTACGGCTTCCTTGCATGACGTCAAGAGTGCGTGATCATCCGTATATTTACCTTTTGGGGGAGTGGATTGGGAAAGGCCCCTACTTAAATTTCAAAATTGCCTTCCAGGCGACGAATTACGTCACAGCATAGCTCGAGATCGAGCCAGTTCGTGCTCCGGTTTCGAAGGAGCGAGGCTTTCTCGTTTCAATCTGTGCACTTCGGACTACTTCGTAAAGTAGATCTGCGAACCGGTGTCATGGTTCGGTTGTTGGTGACAATGCGACGGAGGAGTGAGAGACCCACCCATTCCGATGAAAAAGTTCTCATTGAAATGGTGAAGCGGCGCAGGGGAAAGAAGGGTTTTGAAAGCCCCCCCCCCTGACGCCTGGCCCAGCCAAAGCAGCAATCGCAGACGCAGTGAAGTGATAGGAGAGCTATCGCCCAAAGAAAAAAATTTTGCGGGTTGCGGAATATGGTGTTACATCTGAAAAGCCTCTCGTCGGTAGGTCTCGTCTCCTCAAGATGCTTGCGAGCCAGCTAATACGAACCTTTCCTGACCAAGGATTGCAGCAATGCTGCTCGGCGAGGAACAGAACACCGAGGGCAGATACCCACGGCAAGGCGTGATTGGCTGAAGCCCAGCCAACTCACGCCCTCTATCTGCTACTTGTCCGCATCGATCACATGGAGACCGCGCTGTCCGTGCCCTTCAAAAGTTCTTCACTTCCTCTTGCACTTTAAATGCGGAAACTGTGGCACGTGGGGCTCGGACCTCTGGTCGAGTTCTGCCGTGATTAACTACGACGTGAAACGTTGGGACGTGTGTACCAGCCGATGATTTCGTGTTCACTTTGCAGCCTAAAAAACATTGGAACCCCAACGTTGGGCATAACTTATTCATAGGTTCTAAGTGTATTTATGTCTTTGGATAGGGGCTATATGATCGGTCTAACCTTAGGCCTATCGTAGCTGATTATTGGCCTATTTGGACCGAGGTACATTGACGAATTTTTGGCCTTTGAATGGGCTGAACTTGTATGCCTAACGTTAGGCCAAGTCTTGAAGTTGACCACCGGGCTAGATAAATCACCCAGCCTTGCCAAATTGATGTTGAAACAAAGTATGTTCGGGGAGACGTTATTTGAGAGAACTGTAGGTGTATTCAGCATTTATAGGTTCATAATTTCCATCTCAGGCTTAGTCCTAGTATGGGGGAATATTCTTGCAGAGATAGGCCTTGGGAAGATGCATAACTGGTGTGAGAGAATGGATGACTTGGAAACTGGAGACCTGTCTACAAACTCAGGAAAAATTAGCATTCTATTGGTGAAAAATGTATCAATTTCTGTCCCATCATTCTCCCCCCGCCTATTGCAATTTCAGTTTCTGGCCAATTACCAATTGTGCTATTAGTGGCAATGTGACAGCTTCGTTTTTTGCCTGCCATCACTTTCTTACCAATAGTGTACCAAGTCAGCAATTTAAGCACTGGAGATAAAGTGTAGTTTTGTTTGTCTTTATAGCTCCTGTTTGCTCTTGTAATGCTCTCAGTGTTCTGATGAATGTTATTGTGCATTCCAGGTTCATTGCTGAGTGGGTGGAGGGTAAGGGCAACCAAGACAAACCACTTGTGGAAGGAAGTGAACCTGATGAAGGACAGAAAGAGATTGTCTTGCCAGTAGCAAGTTTGACCACAACTAGTCCGGTAGGGGATATTGGAGAGGGACATTTAGTGAATGGACCAAGTGACACAGAAGAATACGAGCAAACTGCATGCCCATCATCTCCCTGTTGGCATGATTGTGGTGAATTCTTGAGCAGTGAATCAAACAGTGAAGACTCTTCTGAAAAGTGCAGGAATTCACCATTGCAAAATCATATATCTTCAGCCCCAAAAGCAGATGTAGATTGGTCTGACAGGAAGAAAGACACGACAAGCCAGATTCACATTAGTCCCCCTAAAAATTACCCCAAAAAGTGCTTGAAGTATCCAGAACAGGATAGCATGAGCTCATTTGATTTCACAGGAGGAGTGACTCCAACTCGAGTCCTCTTCTTGAATGACCATGAACACCAAGCTTCAACTGTGTATAGGCTTCAGAAAGGTAGCATTTTCCACTTTCTCCTATCCTTTTCTAGGTTTAAGCCTGAAAGTAAAAACAGTTCTGATCAACCCAATTCATTATGTTTTCATCATGAATTGACTCCATTGAGAGCTAATAGTTTCAGTGCATATGTGTAATGTGTGAGGGGAGTGGCTTTGGTTGCTGGGCTTTCTTAACTCCAAATCCAGAAGAATGGTTCACAATCTAGCACATTAAATTTCACTGGAAAATCAGGAACTTCATTTATGCCCTTCTATATATGGTTAAGTGAGCTGATTCTCTTATTAAAACCATGTAGCTTAATTGTGCAATTATTGCAAAATTTGAGTGCCCTATTTTTTTTCCCTGAGCACAATGTTTTTCTCTGAGGAAAATGATGAGTTTTTCTTTTAGGTGAGTTTACATAGCCTCACAAATGCAGTTATGCATACTTTGTGCTCAAGAAATGTCAATGAGCAGTTGCAGTCATATTTGATTAAATGGGTTTTCTTTGAACCATTTGGAATGTTGGAAGGTTTTGTTGGTCTAATGGTGTTCCTTGTTCCTTATATGAATCAGTGTTTGAGTCAACTGGAAAGGCAAACCAGTCAAAATTGAATTGCACTCTATTATCTTTAGTCCAGACCTTGTCAAACCACTTGCGACTGTCTAGGTTTTTTTAGAATAAAAAAATTCATAAATTAACTGAGCTGAGGTATGCCTTTGATCAGGCTGTAGCTCATGGGTTTGAATTAAGGAGATTCTGAATAAGGTCTGTTGGTTATTGAAAGCTTTCCTCATGGTGCATTTTAATTGGTCTATTCAGGTTGGATCCTTCAATTCCGCCTGGGGCCATCGGTTTTTGGCAAGAAGGTGGATTTGTATACCAACTATCCAAGTCACACCGAAGACAAGTTTGAGAGATGCAAGTATCGTCAGGTTCCCTGGAATGTTTCATCTACTAATCCTGATGATGATACAGCTGTGCAAGCCAACATCAACATATTCATGGCAGGATCTTTTCACTACTACTTCACGTATGATCGGTGAGTTTCATTTGCTGCTAATGAGAGAATATAGTCAATGTTTAAAAAAGGTAGTCCTGGGAAAAAAAATGTCAAGTGCCCATGACCTTATTGAAAACACTGGAGTTTTTTTGGTTTTCAGGGAACGTCAAGGATCTGGCTATTTCCTAGTGGATCCTCAAATCACATATGGCAAGGAGAACAAAGTCCTTCCTTTGGATAGCATATTGTGCCAAACAGTTTTGACCAAGTGTCTTGGCACATTTGATGAATGGAAAGAAAGGTTGAGAGTTACCAAGGAAGCTGGCTTCAACATGATTCATTTCACTCCCATCCAGGTCAGCATGAAGTCCTTCACTGTTGGAGGACTTAAAGCATGGAACTTTTGTTGTTTTTGTCTGCAATCTTGGGACAGAGTTGGGAAATTGTTTTATGCATGTGTGCTTATAATCTGCCATCTCCTTCTCCTTATTCAGTTCTAAGGTCAACTCTTAGGATGTTGATCTTCATTAGGCATACTCCACATGAATTGAACTTGTCAACTGGTCACTAATTTCCTCTTTGAAGGAATTTGTGAATCACATCCACTGGAGCCACAGTCAGTGGCCAATGAGTAGTGTACATCATTAGTTGATCAATGAATCAAGTGTTACTTGATAGACTCATCAGGCAGCTTTCTCCATTGATTCCTATAAATTTAGGAACTATGCCAAATATGTTTTAAAATGGCAGACAGGGATTTCCCTGTTTTATCTTTTTGATATATGGTAGCATGCTGGAAGGCAGCCAGGAGCAAAATCAATTATTGGAAAATTTCATGGTTTTTCTAGGGCTTCTTTTTTTTCCTCACAAGCATGGGTCCTTAGGTTTAAATAGACCTCAAGTTCTAGACTTGTCCTTATTGAGAATGATGGGCTCATAATTGAATTAGACTAATTTGGTCAGGTAAAAAACCATGGATATAAATATGTTAGAAGTAGGAGGGAATAATTTTTTTCTGCTCTTCAGTTATCATCTAGGCATATTTGAAATTTACTATGGTCCTAGGGCCTCAAGTCAGTCACTGGAAATATGTGTTGGAAATCAAAAGTTAGGCTAATTTATCTAAGGGAACTATGGAGCTATATGCAGTAGAAGTGGAAACAGGTTAGGAATTGGACTGAGTTTCCTGCAATCTCTTTTTATTTTATTTTTAACCATTGTATTTAGTTGGTCTCATGTACTGTTCTTCCCCATCCTCTATGGCTTTCTATTTTCTGACACTCACTAATGTTCTTGTGTGGCAGTGCCGCCTCTTGGCTCTTTCTCAGCTTCATGGTTATTCAGGAATGCCCCTTCACAGTCCTACAGGCTATAGATTGCCTTGGTCCATGAATGGTACATGTGGTATTCTTATGATTCTGCATTCATGTTTCTTAGATGTGATGCAAATAGTTGGCAAGTGGGTCATTCCATTGCTGGATATGTACTCCCAGGTTGTTTACCTGTCACTTGAAAAGTCCGCCAGAAATAAATTGGAAACACATCATTACACATGTATTGGAACTGGATAATTTGATTTGAAATCTGAAAATGCCAGCTGTCTTCCATTGTGTTGGATTGGGATACTTGTGTTGAAATTATAAAGGGGCTTTCATTGCAAAATACTTATTTTTGGAGTGAAAAGTGCTTGTTTGGGAGTATGTACCATAGGAGCAGTATTCACATTGCTAGTCAAAGCAGCCATTTATAGGAATTACCATTAGTACTACTAATTGGTACTACTTGGTTGCTGGATATTGGTTGCTTAGATGAATGGAAGCAGGAATCAGAGATGCTTTCAAGTCTGTGATCATTCTGAGCATGCAATATATCAAGTCCCTATGGCTATCTCTTCATATTGCTCTTTTAATTCTATTTCTCCATCATTTTCACTTTTTCTTGAATACTCAGCAAGAAAAGCATAAAATCTTGATTGGAATGCACTAAACCCAAACATATTTTTCATGAAATACTTCTTGAGACTGCTTGTGCCATGAGAGTTTCATAGGAATGATTAAGTTATTGTTCAACCAGTAAGCTAGTTGGCTACTGAATTACTTGGTCTAAATTTATTTGCAGGAACTGGGGAATTCCTTGTCTGCGTATTCTTTGGCAGATCAGCTGAAACTAAATTCCATGTTTAGTACCAAGGACCGCCAATATGCGATAGAGGATGTTGCTCAGCTGGTTGAGTCTATGAGGAAAGACTGGGAGGTGAGTCATTCTTTACTGTCTATTATGCTATCAATGCTAACCGTGTATGGAACAGTCAATTTATTTTTTGCTGACTTCGATTGTCAAGTTGAATTCATATACAGGGTGTCCCAAAATGAATATACCATATAGAAAGTTGAATAACTTTTTTTATTATTTGAGATAGCAACAAAATTCAAAACAAAATATCTTCTGAAGGCTTGTAAGTTTTATTTAATTCAATTAGTAAACTTCTCCATGTCTCCATCAAGGGTGCTCATGGATTTGCCAAATCCATGAGCACCCTTGCTAGTTATTCCTCATATGTACAGTGTATCATTACCTTTTTATTCCCAATTGGTATGTATGTATGTATGTCATAAGAAGTTATGCAATTAATCCCATCACCCTTTGCTGTTTTATGTCATGTACTAGGCATTTCTCACATATGAATCAGATTCAGAGTTAGTTCAATTTGGGACCAGCATTTTGATTGGCTGCCATCCTTAAGACAGTATCATTTTGGTTTTGCCTGTAAGGGGGTTAAGGAAATGTTTTAACGCCTTATGGTACAAAGCTTTGGAAATTATCTTGTGCTCCTGATGGTGCTGTATTTCAGTCTGAAAAGCATCTCCCAACTATAGAACCTCTTGGCCTATCATAAGAGAGTGAACTTTCTCTTGGAGCCAAAGTTCCAGTTGCACAAAAATTGAAAGAATTTCCATTAACAAAAATGTATGTAATAAGAAAGTACTTTCCTAATTGCATGAATAAATTTGGATTGCTATTGTGCTTGGCAGCCTGTAAAAGGATAGTAGTTACTGCCAGCTTGTAAGGGAAAGTTGTCTGCAAGGTTTTTATATTGGAAGTTGCATCACTTTGGAGGTCAGACACCCCCTTTCACTTCAAATCCTTTCAGTGGATTTGATTCAGTGCCTCTAAACACTAATTGCAAAGGATCCTCTGAAGAGATTGCAGTGATGAGATGTCATGGAGTATGAAACATTTATCTGGCACAATGGGATCAGTGGGAATATCTGTGATGAAAATTGGCTTCAACCAGAGTTCCAGAAATAGGAACATGTATTTGGAGGGATTTCAAGTAGAAAATGAGCACCTGCTGTTGAGAAAGAGAGCACTTCATCCACTGGTGCTCTAATGTGTATGGGGTAAAGGCAAGCTCTGGTTAGGGACTTGTATGTATATGCAGGATAAGAGCATATCAGGAATGTAGTAGAGGTGGGAAAGCCTCACTATGTGGGAACAGGGATGATCAGGCAAAGAATGATGTCCTTTCCAATTTATCACATAATCGAGGCAAATATGAAGATACTATTGGAGTTATTTACGTCTCCTTCCACTGGTTTTCCTCCTCTCAAGAAGGTGGATAAGTGAAGGATGAAGTGTCTCAACTGAATGCTGTCAGCATTTCATGATGCTGAATCTGTAACTGCTGCCAATTTTTAATATTAGATAGCCTGCTATCAAATGCATTTGCATCTAGAGCAGAAAGCCAAATAAAAAGTATAAGGTCTGAGTATTTTATTTTCTTCTTGGATGTTACAGTAACCACCTAGAGCCAGGAATGCCTGTTGATAGATGCTTCAAGAGCATTGTGTTCATGCAGTATGTATTTATTAGGACTCACTATATATCAATGTCACCATTGATAGTTGAAAACATGAATGAGTTTTATCCACATCATCATGGTATTGATCCCCTCATATGCTCAGCAACTTTCCCCCCAAACAATTACAGCAAGAAACAACAGAAGATGACTTCCCTTTCATGGTGAGATGGGACAGAAGGTTTCCCTTTACCCCCTCTACCTCCTCCCCCTGCCCGTTACAAGAGATTATGTAAACCACCTGGACCATCCTTCATCTATGGCATTCAGGAGATGTAAATAATTTCCCTGACACATTGATGCTTTATTGAAAGTTCTGGTTGATGCATTGTTGTTTTCAAAGTAGGCATCATGACAGCCCTAATTTGTTTGATATGTCAGGAAGATCTTTATCATGATGTACTCCTAATTGTCTTCCACATTGTTGTTTCTGCATGAAAAATTCACTCAAATTCAGTGATTGACTTTACCCCTCTGGTTGGATGGAGCAACTGTACCATGCTTACTGATAATGCTAATAAATGCATTTAAAAAACCTTTATCTTTGCTGGTTACCATGAAAAATTGAAGGGTTTCTAGAGACCTATGAGTTGATATGCTGCTCATGTATCTGCCCATGACTTTCTTAGATCCTGATCAAATGAATTCATAGCTTATGTAGTCACATGTGAGCTACATCATAGCAGCAGATGAACTACACCTATCATAACACTTCTAATTTTACAGGTAGTGAGCATTTGTGATATAGTGCTGAATCACTCAGCCAATGAGAGTCCCTGGATTCAGGAGCATCCAGAATGTGCTTATAACCTCAGGAATTCTCCACATATGAGGCCAGCATTCCTCTTGGACAGGGTTCTTGCACATTTTACAATGGAAATTGCTGAAGGGAAATGGGTTGGATCTGGAATCCCCAAGGAGATAACTCTTGAATCTCAACTTCAGGTTTGTTTGCTTCCCCCCTTTTTTTAAATTTTATTTCTCAATTGAAATTCAAATGAAATTGAAAAAAAGTGTTCACAGTGTTGTTCCTGCACACTTCCTCATGGCCTATGGTGACTAGCAAAATTATCCAGATTTTATTTTTTTCATTATTTCATTGAAACTCACCCTATTGAGGCTAATGCTGACATTTTGTCCAAATTCACAGACTGATGTGACTTTGCCAGTTCAAAGGAACCATGTTATCGTATGAGGGTAGGGTTTGTGTATTATTCAAGCAGGGCACATCTTCAAAAGGGTAGCAAAATTTTACACAGGTAAGTTACATGAGAGCATTAGAGTAATAAGTGATTCAAATAGAATGAAGTCTGAGCCTTTCAGAGTCAAAATGACCATAGCATGCTGAGGCAGGCCAGCTCATTAATTCTATAAAATCCCTCATAGGCCTCATTGAAAGAGGTCTCCATTTATAACATTCCACTTGAAGTTGCTGTTAATTTTGGTTGGTTAAACCAGTACTCCTTAACATTTAAAAAATATATATTGGGTTGGAAAGAAAGTCTTGCAACACTGCACAAATTTGTCAAAATTTTATAACTTTATTGAAATGCAATTTCCGTCTACAATGTAATGACCATTGTTGTCTATGACATGTTCCCAACGCACGGGTAACTGCTCGATGCCCTTTGCCCAGAACTCTGGCGATTGCGAAGCAAAGAAACGGCTGACATCATTTTCGAGCTGTGCTCAATCATCGAAGGCCTTGTCCCACAGGTGATTCTTGAGGGCCTGGAACAAGTGATAGTCTGAAGGGGCCAAGTCCAGAGAATACGCTGGATGGGGTAAAACTTCCCAGCCTGGTTCCGAAATCATCTGGCGAGTCATCTTCGCAACACATGGACGAGCGTTGTCATGCAGAAGGAGAACTTTGTCACGTTTGGGACGCTCTTTTTGAATGACGCCAGCCAACTCTGAAGTTGAGTAGCCTAGATGACGGCAGTCATGGTGGTACCGGTTGACGGGAGCTCATAGTACAACATTCCTTCTGAATCCCACCAACAGCAGAGAAGAACCTTCTCGTGGAACCCTAGTTTCGGTTTGTGGCGGCAATTCTCCTCGTGGAAGCCACTGACTCTTGCGAGTATGGTTGACGTAGAGGACCCAGCTCTCATCTCTAGTAACGATTTCCTTCAGAAGGTCCTTTCTGTGCAGTCAAAGGAGCAGTGATTCACAGACACTGACACGGCTTGCTTTGTCAGAGTCGCTGAGCCAACGAGGGACCCATGTTGAGTAAACCTTCCGATAGCTGAGGTTGTTCGGATGGTTGCCGATGGCCATGTGGGTGACTCCAAGTGTAGTTGCCGATTTGCGAGTGGTGGCATTCGGCTTCGCGTCGAGGGCGTTCTACAGGGCTTCGTCATCGACTGTAGATGGACGTCCTGAGCGTGGTCGATCTCCGAAGGTCGTGTCGCCAGATTCCAAGTGTTTCAACCATCGAGACACCGTGGAATAGTGGACGACGTTGCCCTTGAATGCAGCACAGATGTTGTCTGTGGCAGCTCTCGCAGAATGTCTTTGGAGGAACTCGTAGTAGACGATGGGGCGAAGAGTTGTTCGATCAGAGCCATGGCTGCCAACTAATGGCAGAAGCCGCCTTATATACCCCGAGGGCAGAAGCTTTGAGAACATTCCAGCATATACAAAGGCAAAGCCCTGCCCATCATTTCTTTGAAAATTTTTATAAATAGTTTTAGAAAGTGTTGCAAGACTTTCTTTCCAACCCAATATTTTGTCCTATATTCATTCTGAGGCTTCTGTCAAATTGGTTTGTGCATTTATTTAGCACCTGCCACAATTGGAGTTTTTTTCATTATAAAGTGTAATATAGAGTGGTATTAATATGCTCTTATGATATCTATGATATCTTTAAAATTTCCTCCATTTAATCAGATGGTCCATAAGGGCTTCAGCTAGAAGGCATTATCTGCTTAGATGTCTTCCTGGTCCTGAAAGTGTCCTGGTTAACTTTGCAGTCTGTTCGAGATGGAATACTTGGTTACTTCCTGCCACAAGTGAAAATTCATGAACTCTACATGGTGGATGTTAAGGCCCTGTTGGAAGAATTTAAGAAGCAAGCCTCTGAAGGACCTCATCCTCATTGCATACCTGAGTTGGGTGGGAAGGTTCAGATCTTACAAGATCCTTTGTTCAGACGATATGGGTCTACTGTTGCTATGGGCATGGCACTTCAGGCTTTCAATGGGCCCAGGTAGGCTCTTTAGTTATCCACAATTTCTTACATGTTCATTATAAACAGGGTTTATATCATAATGTCCTATGCTTATGAGGACTTAAGACCTGCGGGGAACCTGCATTCTCTCGTCCTACATTTAGATATGAGGTCCATTCCGAGGAGGAAAGACTGTTGAAGTGCTGCCAAGCCTTTCGTCTTCACTTGAAGTTCTTGAATCGGGAGAAACACAAGGAGGTAGAGAAGCATATTGTTGTTGGGGTGGAGAATATCCTCTCTGGGATGCGATATGAACGTATCCAGGAGGATGGCCCCAAGATCAAGGAGGTCTCTGAGAAGCATCCTCTTATATGCAGGTTTGTAAGAACAACTGAGATTTATCTTGTTTAATGGGCATTGAGTAATTTCTTGCTGCTTGACTTGATTTCAACATTGTTGCCACACTGTCCTGGAATATGTTGCTGTCTTTTGAGTGACACCCATTATGTCCTTGTATCCAATGTAGTGTTATTGATCACTTCTAAATTGATTTTGACTCTTGGAACATAGATGCCAAGGCTCTGTTGAAGCTTGTGTGCTTACCTTACACTTGCAGGTATTTTACATGTCCATATCGTCGCCTGAGCTTGAGTGAGGAGGAGAAGCTCATGTTTGAGGAAGGGAAGTGTGATTACATGATGGCTCATAATGGCTGGGTTGTGAACCATGATCCTCTCATAAACTTTGCTGAACCTGGCTCGAATGTCTATCTGAGACGTGAACTCATTGCCTGGGGAGACAGTGTCAAGCTCAGGTCAGTCAGTCATTCTTTTTCTCTGTTGCTTTTTTGTAGAATTGGCTAAGTAGGGTTTTAGAAAGTAGAAAGTATAGAATTCTCATGGAAACAATTGGGACTGAACAGACTTCCACTTCTTATTTTGCTTCTGGCCTTTTGCAACAGGCCTTTTTCTTTGAGGGAATCCCTTGGTAGATGTATTTTTAAGTCTATTGCTTTCTGAATCTCAAGATTCAGAAGATCATGACTTGGTCAATGGATTCTTATGCCCTATCTCATGTTCAAGTCTAAGAAAGAGGCTTTCATGATCTGTTTCTACTTTTGAAGAGAGTAATAAATGGTAATGCTGCCATGTTTGCTAGTTCATGTGCAATATCACTTCTAGCATCATATGCTACTTCTAATAAATCACCTGCCAGGTGACGGTCTCATTTTTACCTTTAACAACAAGTGGATGAGGATGGAGAAGTGGGACTTAGCCTGCTTGTCCATGTCCTGCTTGTCCTGATAATTGATATTAAATGGGACTGTAATTCTTGTCAGAATCACTCATCTTCACATCTTCCATGCATGGAAGTGCTTGACTATTTAAAGACTTTACTTTTCATTTACAATCTCCCTTCTTGTTCAATTGTTTGGATCAGTGTAGTGTAGTGGAGTGCAATGTTGTAGACATGGCTATGCTGAGGCTGTTCATACAAGTTTTTAGGCTAGACATGAGAGTGCTCCCAAAATTGAAAACAGGAAGATGATGAAAAATGTTGGGTTTACAACACTATTGAAATAAGTTTGAATCAGATCAAGATGGGGGAGTTTTACTGAGATAACACAATTATAGAATGCCTATTGGGCAAATGGCTTAACACACAAAAGTCCCCAAATTAAGGCATGCGCTGGTCTGAAAGCTTGCTCTGTTTCCCTACAAGTGGGCTGTGCATTTGACACTCTTCCTGTCAACTTTTGTGCTACACAAGTGACAAATTTTGGTCACTGGATCAAGAGTGTCATACATGCAATTGAAAGAATGGTGAATAAGAGTATGCCATCATTGCCATTCTTGGCATCATTTGTTGGCTCCTCTTAGATTTGGTGAGAGACCAGAAGATAATCCTTTCTTGTGGAATCACATGGTGGAATATGCAAAGGAGACTGCTCGAGTGTTTCATGGCATACGATTGGATAATTGCCACTCCACACCTATTCATGTTGCAGAGGTACATCTTCCATCTTCATTCTAATTTCTGTTATTAAGTTTTGGATGATAGTTGACTTAATGAGGGACTTACTTATATTGATTGACAGCTTTTCATGTCTTCCTTTGCATTCTTCCTGTTCTGTTACATAGTGTGCAGTCTGTCTCTCATTGCACTATTGGCTGCTCAAATCATTAAAACCAGAGAAGGCACTCATAACATGATTTTTATGATAGTCTGTTTTGAGTATGGAATTCATATATGGATGAAGATGTGAAGTATCCTTGGAGTTGAAAATTGCCATACTGCATGATTAGGAATGGAGAGTGATGACAATTCCTATTCGTCCTATCCATCACAAGCTTCATTTTTTCCTCTCATTTTTCTGCATTTATTTGAACTGCAATTATATAGGTTTCTGAAACTCATCCCTGATCTGCTCACATCCTGTCTGAATGACTATGCAGAGGAATTTCTGTTGAATTTCCTCTGCTCCCCTGTCCCAAAAGCCATCTCTTCTATAAAAATGATCATGATTGATTTACACTAATTCTAACCATGTTCTAACCATTTTCCAGTATATGTTGGATGCAGCCAGGAGTGTGCGACCAGACTTGTATGTCATTGCAGAGCTTTTTACCCAGTCAGAATTGACAGACAATGTGTTTGTGAACCGTCTTGGGATCAATTCCCTCATCAGAGGTGAGTTCAATCCACCAATGCCACTTCTTGTTCTTTTTCTCCTAAAAATGAGGCATGACTCAGTCATTTTCCTTGTTTCTGGGTTCATGTCTGTCTGATGTCAAATTGTAATATGGGTAACAGACAGTCTGTTTCAATCTCTTTGAAGCTTCGTTATAAATAAGTTTATGGCAATTTCCATGCAAGTTTTGTTGGGAAAATAATTTTGGTATTATTGATTTTCATTCCATTTTTTTCATGTATTAATAAGCTGAAAGTCATGAGAAACTTTTTCTTTCCAGTTGCAATGCAGTTTGCACTTACCTCAGATCTGATCTCAAATGACTTGACTTGAGGTTTTACCATAGAGTCTTCCAGGCTATGTCTAGCAATGGAATAACCCAGTTTCAAGCTTTACATGAGTACTGAATCAAGAATTTTAGTTCCTTTCTGAGATGAGCTTCCCACCCCACCCCTATAACTCATGTTCACACACATTATTTCTCTATTTCTAAGCATCTTCTTTTGCAAGATATGAAAGTCTACAAAGTTTCATCAATTGTCGTGTACCCAGTGTCCAAAGAGTATAGATCCATATACATAAATTTTATTTTTGGATCAGATTTAACCATTTATTTTGTGCTTGTAGACCTCAGGTCAACATCACATTTTTCCCTATTCCATTTTGATGAGACTGAGGATTAATTTCTCTAACCCTTGTTTCAGAATATCCCCTTCAGTGAGAATCTGTCATGGCAAAATGCTACATAGATGGGTTTCATGTTTGAATATTCCCTGCAATTTTTCAGTTTGAGTTAAATATTAACTTGAGACTCAAAATAGAAGAAACTCAATAAAGTAAATTTCAATACATGAACAAAAATTGTTTCTCTCAAGGAAAAAGTCCTCACAGTGCACAGTGGTTCAGAATTCATCAAAACCTGGCCATAAGTCGAAAAATGAAGTTTTAATAATTATGGAAAAATCTGATTAATTTAAATCAGGTGTTTATGTAGCACTAAATCAATGAAATTTCTGAGTTTCTCCCTCCCCAATTGATGGAGTAATTACCCGAAGTGTTGGAAACTTCATGACAGGCGTAGGTGTCGTTTTGTAGTAGTCAATTTCCTGGTAATGGCTCTTTTGAAATAAAATAACCACTTCATCATAAGAAAATGAAATTTACTCTGACGGAAGGTGACGATAAGTGCCTTCTTTTCTATTAGTTGTTAACCTTGTGAAAAATCAGATCAAAATCAGCAAAAATTTGAGGGTTTTTTTTCAGGGGGGGCATGCTGTAAAAGATGCATGGTAGAACAGAAACAACAAGGTGTTCCATAATTTGCTTTCTCATTCATCCCCAATAAAGAAAGTGACACTGACAGCAGCCTAGGTGTATTTGTAAAATGGCATACCCATAGTGATTGGCTTGTGCCCTTTTCTTTCTTGCTGTGAATAGAGGCAATGAGTGCCTGGGATTCTCATGAGGAAGGTCGACTTGTGTATCGATATGGTGGGGAGCCAGTGGGAGCATTCCTGCAGCCCCCTATCCGACCATTGGCCCCCTCTGTTGCTCATGCCATTTTCCTTGACCAGACACATGACAACCCTTCCCCAGTGCAGAAGAGATCCATCTATGATGTGCTTCCCTCCGCTGCACTTGTTAGTATGGCATGCTGTGCCTCAGGTTCCAACAGGGGATATGATGAACTTGTCCCCCATCATGTGAGTCCCACCTCTTAATCATGCATTTTTTTTACTTGCACAACTTTCACTGCATGTCCAATTTGCCTCCAAAGCCAAAGGAACTGACTGTAGATCCAGTCTAAATCTGCTAATAGAAATGTACTCTCCAGATTCAGTCTATTGTTTACCTTGAGATATTCACTGTTGCACTGTTTCATTTTGCTTGCAGAGTAATGCATTGTTGAGTCATCTCATGGGATTGATTTAATTGAATTGTCATATCAGAGTTTCAGTTGTGAGCAACATGAATTCTGTATTTTGTAGCTGTGTATTTTCCTATTCACATAAACATTTCCTCTCACTTGGTTGTGGTTAAGGTTCTTCATCATCCTTTTTCAAAGGGCATGTCACATATTTTCTTTTCTTCTTAGATACATGTGGTAAATGAGAATCGGCAATATCAATCATGGGATATGGGAGGCAAGGAGAAAACAGGAACAGTATCTATGGAATCTGGTATCATGAGAGCCAGGAAGGTACTCAATGAACTGCATTTTGAGCTTGGGCTAAAGGGGTTTTCCCAGGTTTGCATTTGCTTCTATTTCATTGGAGTCACATCTCTGTCCATTATCCTCTGTTGTCCTCTATTGATGACTCCTTCCACTGTGCAGGTGTTTGTGGATCAAGTAAGTGAACATGTGGTGGCTGTTACTCGCCATTGCATGGCCACTCATGAGACATATGTCTTGGTTGCCCATACTGCTTTCACCCACCCCAAGGCTCATCACAAGCCAAGAAATATTCGATTGCAGGGAGATATAGTACACATGAGATTTATGGCTTGCTTCAAGCACCAATCCAGGTCTCAGTTATTATTGCCTGTCTTTCATGCTTGCCTACTGTTGATTTAGTACTTGTGGACTGAGTTATTCTCTAGTGGCTTTTGTAGAATGACTTCATACTTTGGAATGGAGAATAATGTGAAAGCAAAGGAAGGAATTAATTGACAACCTTTTTCAAGTCCATCTTATGAGGAACAAGATATTTGACAATAAGTAGCCTAGAAGATCTACCCACTTTTGATTGTGTTGGAAAATTCCTCTTTCTTATAAGATGTATCTGTAGTTCTTGATTAAACTTGATTATGATTTTTATTAATAAAAAAACCCATCAATGTGCCCTAGTTAATCTACACACATATATATAATAGAAACATCTAATTTTCAAATATATGATTTCCTTATTTCACATTCTTGCAAATTTATGAAACTTCATTTGTCCTGATACCATGTTATCTGAAAAGAATTAATAAATTCCTTTCTCTTCTCGTTGTAGCAAGGGCAATTGGGACTTCCGAGAGTATGAGTATGAGAAGGATGAAAAATTCATCAATGGTGCTTCTGGATTTTGTGTGGAGTTGCGGGAAAACTTCCCCATCTCTGAGTGTCCCTTGATTAAAGTCTGGCCAACTGGTGAACCTGATTCATTTGAAGTGGAATTCACTGATTTCCCTCCAGGATCAGTCATTTGCTTCAAGTGAGTTCTTGGTTCCTGCAGTGTTCATCTTCATTTTATTACTGTTTCTCCCTGTTGGTTGGCCCCTGATCCTTGGGTCTGAAATTTTAGACCTTGATATCTTGCCATTTTGCATATGTATTTTCATCCTTTCAATATGTCTCTGTGATGAGGGTTGGTGAATTTTATTTACTATCTCATGATTACTTTTGGATGCAGATATGAAAATTCATCTTGAAAATGCTATCAGTTTGGCCAGGATTAAGAAGGACTTAATTTCTTTTTTCAGAGTTCTCCTTCACAAAGATGCAAGAAATGCAGTAGGGGATTTGCGTGGGCTCTTGTCTCAGCTTGGCTATTCACAACGGGCTGGAGATGAGTCTGAAACACAAGAGCTGCAAAACATCATTGCACAGCTTTCCTTGGCTGACCTGAACCATGTCCTCTATCGCTGTGATGCTGAGGAGCAAGATCTTGGATATGGAGGGGGTGCTTATGTCATTCATCACATTGGAGCTTTTGAGTATTGTGGCCTCCAAGGTCAGACTTCTCCTTTCTTCCTTCTCTTTTAGGCCTCATTTTCACTGTTTTCATTCCCACATGAGAGTTGAAGTTTAGTCATCTAGAATTGTCTCTATATCATAATATACAGGGTGGCCCAGAAGTAATAGGGCAGTTAGTGGTACAATCACAGTCACTACAATTTTATCATTATTTTATAATTTATAATTATAATTATTATTTTGATTATTAATTTATATTTATTTTAATTTCATAATCACTAAACATAAAGGTTGCAAGTAAAAATTGTAGTGACTGCTGATTGTACCACTAACTGTCCTATTACTTCTGGGCCACCCTGTATATCTCCTTGGGTGAAATGCACTACATCACTTTAGGAGCTAAGCTGATCTGATTCCAGGCTTATATCTTTGGTCTTTTTCAGACCATTGAACATTTTGTAAATAGACACAGAATTCTATTCTCACAGCTGATGACTACATTGAATCAAATTCTGTTATTAGACATCCTGCTGGAGTTTTCCTCTCCTTTCCAAAAATTCCTAGGACATAGACTTTGCATTTTCTGGCTGAAATGAGTTGCTTACCTCCTTTTGGTATGAAATAAGTATATTTTACAAGCTTGTGCTTCTGTCATTCTTTATGGCAGCATCTGCATTCAATAATGTAAGCATGGCAGGATGCCAAATGCCATTAATTTTGAAATATAACCACAAGTTCCTTCTTCCCCCAGCCAAAACAATGCAGATGCGGTTTTATATTTCTCATAAATTGGCATGAAAAAGTTGACACTGAATATCAAATAATGACTTGTTGGCCTCCTGCCCATTCATTTTCCAAAATCTGGCTGATGTGTATGAGATCATTAGCCAGTCATCAGCTCTTTAGCCAAAGACCACCATCAGTGCAATCCTACTTTCAGCTCTTGATTTTATATTGGTCCACATTTTTCAAGAGCATTTGGATGTATAACTATTTTTGGGCTTTATGACAAGAATCAACTTTATTATGCCTTTTCATGCTCACCAGGGTTGATGACATGTATGGGGAAGATACGATTGGAAAATGACTTGGGACATCCTTTATGTGGCAATCTTCGGGATGGAAACTGGCTCATGGGTAAGAACTGAATTGGAGAATCTAGAATGCTTTGGATTACATACTGTTTCCAATTATTATAGGGATGCTCCAAATGCTCTTTTATTCTCGATCAGTAGTTATGGTACTTCAGTCCATAATATCATTTTGCTGTTGTCATGAAATCTTATTCAAATCAGAATATTGCTTTGCTGAAATTTATATGCTGGTTTATTCCCTGTGGTTGTTCATTTTTGCCACCAATGCAAGTTTAAATTCTTATTCTTCTCTGGAGCTCACATGTATGGCATTTGGAGCATCATAATTTCTTCTATGATCCTTGCAATATTAAAACATTCAACATGAACAAAATATTAGAGCAGTAATGGGTGCAGTTGAACTCCTTTGGCAGATTATGTGACCAGGCGCCTGAAACAGTACCGGGGAACAGAGGCGCTTGGACTCTGGGTGGAGAGGATCTTCAAACCTCTGAAGTGTCTTCCTCGTTACCTCATCCCATCCTACTTTGATGCCATCCTTCTTGGATTGTATAATCTCTGCTTGAAGCAGATCTGGTCTTGTATGTCCCTGTGCGTAATAAACACTTTTACCTTGCTTGGCTTTCTTTGCAACATATTACATGGGATTCTGATTGATTGTGCTGGCGATTTTTTACATTTTTATCATGCAGATTTGTTGGAGAAGGGTCAGATTTTGTGAAGGCCGTGGCACTTGGATCAGTGCAGATGGGTGGGATTGTGCACTCTGCCCCTCTTCCTCCTCTTTCTGGCAAGCTTCCTCTAGGACAAACTGAACGTACCCTGACTCTTGCTGCTGGCAAGTGATTCCTCTCCCATTCATGTGACAAAGTTTTCTTACATTCAAAGGAAGTACTTTCTTGTTATATGTGACATAGGATAGTCATGTTTCTCATGTTCAAGCATAGAACAACTGGATGGGTTGAGTCAATAAGCATGTACCTCCTATTTGCCATTGTCGCTACTCAGTCTTTCTATTGCCTAATTGGAAGGAAAAATTGAACTTTGTCTCTCTTTCATATTTCTATGCTGCCAGCACTAAATTCATTCAGATGAAGCTCTAACAGAGTAGTAAGTACTTTTATGAACATGGCATATTTTATCTAAACTCTGGTGCTGCTGCCATGTTCCCCTCCAGTTTCAGTCAACTTGGCAGAACTAGCAAGACTAAATCATGTTAATTTTTCTCCTCATAATATGAAAATTAATTGTTTGAGCCTATTTGGTTGTAATGCTAGTAGATATTTTAATTCATTATTTTTTATGGAAAAAATGAATGAAAGCACTTGAGAGTTGACATGCTTCAAATGAAGATTTGCCTACTTTTGCATTTTCATGACTGGTTTATGCATCTGCCCCTCCATGAACTTACAGGCATAACAGGTGTCAGTTTGTGTGAAAAGTTTAATTTCTCAGTACATGAGGGTATTCTTGCATACATGGCTTGGTTGCAGCTCTAGCTGCCCTGAGACCCAAATCAATTTGAAGTAAATATATGCTTTTAATTCAAGCAATATCCATCAATGGCACACCATTACTGGAGAGTTTCCATGTTGTTTTATGATGGCAGCCTTCAATTGATTGGCATCTGTTTTTCCTCTTCTTAAGAAAGCAATCTTATTCCAGGATTACCTCATTTTGCCACTCAATGGATGCGCACTTGGGGTCGTGACACCTTTATTGCTCTTCGAGGGCTCTTCCTCCTCACTGGCCGTTTCCAAGAGGCTCGGTAAGATCTGGCCTGTGATTCTATGGTTATTTGTATTTACAGTACATTTGTGTTTTCTTGTAGTTCTTAAATTGCACTGCAAATATCAATTTGCAGTGTGACCTCAGTGACAAGATTTCCTTACCATACTCAAATGTAATGTGATCAAGGTGTGAATGATGTAGGGCTCTGATCTTGGCATATGGGGGATGCCTGAGGCATGGATTGATCCCAAATCTCCTTTCTGGAGGATCTCATGCACGTTACAACTGTCGAGATGCCATCTGGTGGTGGCTTCAGTGCATCCAAGATTACACCAAGCTCTCTTCTCATGGGATCGGTATACTTGAAGATCCTGTCCTTCGGCTCTACCCCACTGATGATTCACCACCTCTCAAGTCTGGCAATGTTGTAAGTTGAAGTTGGTTTTTTTCATGTTTTCAGGTCCTGTAGTCAATGTGCTGGTTGAAGCCTATTTCTTGCCAGTTTTTTTAATTATACATGACTTGTTCTATTTCTAAATAGGAGCAGCCATTGCATGATGTGATTCAAGAGGCCCTGCAGAGGCACTTCCAGGGAATGGCATTCCGGGAAAGGAATTCAGGCATGCAGCTGGACATGCAGATGACCTCTGAGGGATTCAATGTTGCATTTGGCACCGATTATGAAACAGGTTAGTCTCCTTCCACAAAATGTGCTATGATGATTGTCTTTTGTAAATGGCTCTTCATAACATGTGGCACATGATAAAAAATTATGTGAAGCATCTTGGATTTTTCAGGCTTCATATTTGGTGGGAATGTGCACAACTGTGGGACATGGATGGACAAGATGGGAAGTTCAGAAAAAGCTGGGAACAAGGGAAAGCCTGCCTCACCACGGGATGGGAGTGCAGTGGAGCTGATTGGCCTCTCAAAGTCGACCTTGCGCTGGCTCAAGGAACTTCATCAGGCTGGCAAATATCCTTATGAGGGAGTGAAATCTGCTCCTCCATCAGGTGAGCTCTTTGACACATGCATGGGTGTTGGATTGGGTAGAAGTCACTGAAATGATATTGGATGGAAGGTTTTTGCAAATTCATGTAACAATTTCTTACAGCAGGTCTATCACATAAATGGAAAAAGAATCAGGACATTCAGGGTGAGTCAACATAATCTCATCTTGAACTACACTGTATCTGTCCTCATACTCAATGTACATACAATACAAAGTGAATTTGAATGAAATGTACATATATACATACTAGCTAAAACCAGAACTGGGAGAAGCTTCTCTGCAACACTGACCCCTGTGGATGTCTGTAGTGCATAATAGAGGATTATATTGGTCTTGTTTTGTTTTCGGCATAATTTCTTGTGGTTTTAACTTTGGTAGTGGCTTTTACTTCAAAACTTGTTTTTATCTGTAATGGTTCTGGGCTTTGTGCATTAGGAAATTCATGGCATTTCATTATGTCTGCATGAGTTAGGGCATTGAGTTTGGTGTTTTAACTTATTGACACTGGGAACTGTAATATTACGTTTTTAAACCCATAGTGTTCTGGAGTCACTGGGTGTGAATGTGTTAAGAGAGCAAAGTTCTTATTATGGGTTTGGTTGCAGTTAACTCTGCATAATGGAATACTCCAGGGACCAGTGAACTTTATTTTTTAATTTGGAGTATTCCAATAACTGAATCTGGTGTACTTCGTTTCTCAATCTCTTTACTTTTGACTTCATTTGTACCAATCCCAACCAAATATTTCTGCACCCATTTTAGCATACTTTCAGCATCTGTCTTACATACTTAACCCTTCACTGCACATATTTTTATTTTTTCCAACTATTAATACAGAACTCTTTTCTTTATTGTGTAAGTGATTTACAAAATATTCTAACTTTGAAAAACACAAATTTTGATTGTATTATGTATTAAATGGCACAAAACATTTAACTGTCATGGATGTATTTGCTTGTAAAGCTATGAATGCTGCGGTCAGAAAACAACTAGGCTCGCAATTGAATGCAATATAAAGTAATCAGAGGCTGCCAACAAAATATGGCCTCTGAATTCTGCAATAAGTTAACATGAGCATGTACATGTCCTAATGTTTATTCACTGTAGGATTCAGTGAAACAATTCTCTTTTGGACACCACACTTTTCACAACAAATGAAACTTAGGCCTTTGCAGCCTGGCATCTTGCATCTTTGGCAAGTTTCCTATTTGGATCAATGGTCTGCTTCAGGCCTGCCTGCATGATGGAATGGTTCCATGTGCAGTGTCTCGCATATGGTAAATACAATTTTTTTCTTAATTACAGATCCATTTACTGTCCCCCTGTAAATCAGCGGGTATACATTATCTAGAAAATATATTTTGGTCATTGATATTTTTTTTGTCATTCAACAGCATCAAAATAACCTCACAGTGAATGATTCATGTATTTCCAGTGGAACTATCAAACCAGGTGACTACTGCTACTGGCATCAACATAGCTATTGTGAAGCAACATTGTTTCAGTATAACCAACATCTTCCCACTCCACTCTAAATGGTCAGGGATTTCACAAGTGTGAAAAGGCACTGAGTTCACACTTCAGCTTTTTGCAAAGTTGATAGACTTCTTGAGTAATTTGTATCATATGAAGGGTTACCGGTGAACTTCAGCTTATTTTGGGCTGGGAAATTTCCAATATTGTTATAGCCCTGCTTTGTTGCAATGAGAAATGATGTGAGGAAGTTGACATAAATTTTGCCTGGATATTTATACAGTTTTAGATGAACAGTTATAGATGTTGTGTTGCAAGTAAAAGTTGGTCTGAAAAAGAAAGACAATGTTATGACTCAAGTTCGTGGTGCCAGTTGCAGCAGGAAAAGTGTGAAAAGAACCTTTGGAATGCTGTCTGAATGTGACAGGTAGTGTCTGAGGTGGACTCTTGAAGAGATGGAATGAAAAGAAAGCATTGAAGATGTGTGTGCAAAATAAAAAATTGATATGAGGGAATGAGGGGCTTGCAAGTTGAAGGTTGAAATTAATCAGAAGCAGTGGGAGTCCAATAAAAAGGGAATGACAGAGCTAATGAGAGTGGGAAAAACCTCCAGATGACTCTGGCAGGTGGAAGGGCATCCAAAGTGGACCATGTAGGGATAAATTAAATAGAAGGATATTGGCAGGGATGGTGACTGCTGCTGAGTTTTTCTTTACTTTTCTATTGTTTTTAATAGATGTAGGTGGAGGTGTTAGTAAAATCCCATGAATTGAGGTAATTGTGAACAGAGAAGGGTACTTTAGCATTGGAATATGTATCAAGGTGTTGGGAGGAAATGCAGCTGTCACAGAAGGAGATTAACCCACACCTTAGAGTGACCTTATTTTTCTTCCTCTGATTCCACTTCTCCTGTTTATTTTATTTATTTATTTTTTTAATATAGAACTAAAGATTCAATCTTGAGTCTAGCAAATGGACCTGAGATGTACTGAATAAGTTATGAACTTAGCAACTAACCTATGTCAGACTCAACTGAGCATGTTTTTATGCTATGCACAAACTAGAGCTAATTTTGGGGGCTAATTTGGACTTTGGAAAACTTCAAAACTTGTTTACTTTTTGCTTGGGGGTTATCTTAGAAATCTGGAAAGCTTGACAGTGAAGGTATGAGATTCCAAGAGACAGTGCATTTAAGTATTTAACATGTGAACCCATTCCAGGTGAAGTGACTGCCTGGTCCTGGAAGGAGTGGGAAGAATGCATTGGGAAGAATTTTGAAAAGTATTTCTGGATCAACACAACCCCAGTGCCAGAGAATGAACCCAAACCAGAATTGATCAACAGGCGAGGGATTTACAAAGATTCATTAAATGCAACTCAACCCTGGGCTGATTACCAATTGAGATGCAACTTCCCAATTGCTATGGTGGTGGTGAGTGAAGTTCACTGAAAGATATCTCCTTCTCTTGTTTTGTAGGATATCAGATGATATAGTGATGGGGCAACAGAATCTTGTATTTCATTTCAGCTTTACTGGCTGTAACCTTATTGTGAAATGTTCTCTGCCTTTATAAATAGCACAAATGTTTTTGGTCATGTTGGTCACAAAGCTGCCTTACTTGAACTCTTAGAACATGCAATGGTGGTTGTGGATGCCATTGGTGGTCATTCTAGTCTGTAAGATAAATAGGGGTTAGAGTATTTTTTTTAATATAAGAAATATATCAAAGTGACCACAAAGATGTCTATTTTAATTGAATATATCAATTTAATTATTACACACCACGCAGAACAACATATAATTTATTTTCTTCAACATGTCAGAAAAAAATAAACATAACTTATGTTACAACCCTATACTTGACATAAAGCATGCAACCAGTGAAATTTGTTGGCTTTCTTTCAGTTGATTCTGACTTCTTTTTTTCTCTTGCAGGCACCAGAAATGTTTGACCCAAACCATGCATGGACTGCATTGGACATGGCTGAGAAAATATTGCTTGGTCCTTTGGGCATGAAGACCTTGGATCCCTCTGATTGGGCATATAGAGGCCATTATAACAATGCAGATGATTCCAATGATTCTTCAATAGCCAAGGGATTTAATTATCATCAAGGACCTGTGAGTAAACTCTTTCATTACTATCATCACCGTTGTATGAGCTGCAGTCTTGTCCCAGTCACTATCCTCATCCATCTGATCCTTAGAAGTTATTTACAAAAGAAATTGAGTGGAAGCCATTGTGTACTTGAATATCATATTGTTAATGGAGGAAGAAGATATGCAGTCTTTTGCACTGTCCTAGTTGTTTCTATGTATAATAAAGGTATATGTTGACTTTGATCCATCTTCTCATGCCATTCTTCTGCAATCTGCCAAAAAAAAAAACCTTTCCAGGTTTATGATGCTTCTGAAAGAAAAATACCCTCTACCTTTCTGAGTTCTCTCTCATCTTCATCCTCCATGAAATATCCCATGAGACTCCCTTCCTCCAACTTAAAATTAAGAACTCTAAAACTATAGTAGAAACTTGGACTGGAACAAAGCTAGTTTCATTTTTTTCTCATTCTAAAGGAAAAGCTGAGTTCTGTGAAGATGCCATTTTGTAGTCTTAAACATCTTTTCACTGAGGTGGGACTTGACTTCAGATAAAATCCTGTTAGTATTTTGTTACAATCCTTTACAGAGTCTGACTTGATGTGGTATTGGTTTGCCTATAATTCAGGAATGGTTGTGGCCAGTTGGATATTTCTTGAGAGCAAAACTTCACTTTGCCCAAGTACTTGGAGGATCCCTGGTTGAAGAGACAAAGGGGTTTGTGAAGTCTGTCCTCTCACATCACTTCATCGAGGTCACAACATCTCAGTGGCGTGGTCTCCCTGAGCTTACCAATGCCAATGGTGCTGTGTGCCATGACTCCTGTAGGACACAGGCATGGAGCATGTCCACCATCTTGGAGGTCTGACATCTCCTTTCTCTCTTTTCTACTACTGGGAAGTGTCCTTATGAGAGTTATATCAGCATTTGTGTCTGTCTATAGCCAAAAACTTTTCCTCCCCATTTCATGACAAGGAATATGAGCTTACACAGGAAGTTTAATGTGCAAACCCTACCAATTTAACCAAACACAAACCACTGTGGTTTAAACTTACAACTTACAGTGCTTTCAACAAGTCTTGGAATTGAAGTAAATTTAAAATTGGCATGACTGAGTTTTCATATGCCAAAAGGGGGATAGCTTGGCTGTTCAAGGAAATCAATGCAACAATGCATCAGCAATCCGTCAGCCAAATTTTTCCACATTCCACTTTTTTTTGTTTATGAATACTTTGACCATTGCTCTGCACCTCATGGAAGACTCTACACTTCCTCTTGGTTTTCATCCGTTGCTTATTTTATGGGATAGCCATGTCTTTCTTTTGAAACAAATAGGACAAATTCAAGTTAAGAAGAGTTTTCAAAAGATGCCAGCCTGACATTGGTAATTAGTTTAATTTTGCTCATGGGAAGAGTGCTAAAGTTCTTGTTTCAGTTTTGCTGTTTCTCAGTCAGGCATGGTTTATTTTATATACATCCCTCAAACTGTGAAATTGCTGTTCCAGCCATATAGGGTATGGAGCTTAAACCTCAGCTATGTATTGCAAGCTGCAAAATACTTTATATGGTTTAGAATATGGGACCTCCCCATTCTCATTTGCAGGTCCTGCATGCTCTAAATGCCATGAGTGCAAAGGGTCAATGAAGAAATGAGATGCAATAGAAGACTTCTCATCTGCATCTGCTTGGCTTCTGTGCTATGTTCCCCGTGCCCACCTTTGTTCTGTCCAGTTTTGATGTCCTTGAAGATTGTAGCTCTTAGTGGAGGCTCTCTGTTCCCTTGATAAGCTTTCAAGCTTAATTTCAAGGAAGAGCGTGATTCATGAGTTTGCAATGAAATGGACCACAGAAAATTGAGGAGGATGGAGAACTAACACAATAAGTCACATGCACCCTATTGCATCAAACTTGACCTCAATGTAAGTCGTTAACTGTGTCCTGTCAAAACCCACTGGGTGCACTTTATTTTCATGGATTCCCATTAGCTATATCTGGTGGATGTTACTGAATATTTGGATAATGTATGAGTGGGATTTGAACCCTGTTCATTTGTCAACCACTAAGAGGGTCACATAGCCTACAGTGTTTTAACATAGAATTTACTTGTTACTTCACTGCCAAGTGATGTTGATGCAGATATTTTTTTGGTCCTGTATGCATTTATCCATTCATTTGTTTTATTTTCAGTTATTTTATCCAATTTTTTTTACTTATACCATAGAGCTTTCTATTAGCGATTTTCAGTTTTCATCACTTTTCACTGTAGGTAGATGAGGTTTAAACCTTCAGTGTTGAGAGCATATTATGGGAACTTTGAAGAAAATGAGCTTTAGGAAGCAGTAGTGGAACCTTAGTGCAATATTGCATGTCATATCAAAGTTTTTTTTTCACATTTGTAGATCATCTTGAGATGTTTTATCTTGAGGTTTTTTTTTCGGATTTGTCGATGGTGCTACCTGGTGCATAATAGGAAGCGAATCTGAATCTCTGTTTAATAGAGAATTTATGAATAAATATTAGTCCATCATTGTCATGAACACTTCTCCTGCCCTCATTTGACTTTAGGTGTAAAGGAGTCATGGAGGTTATGGTTGCCGAATACCTTAAATCTCATGGAAGAATTTTGTATAGTGGGGGAAGGGGGTGGATGTGAGGGTGCTATCTGCAGCATCCTAGTGCAGATGCCTCCATCATTAACCGTTTGAGGAGTAAGAGTATTTATGGGCTGACGCTATCCTGCCTTCCATATATTCACTATGGGAGATGTTGTAGGTGTTTTTAAAAAAAAATCCCACTCCTCAAAGGGTCCAGTGCAAGTTTGTCGGTTTTTCAGCTTGTGCTGTAATATCGGCTCATGTAGAGAATCTATTTTCATCAATTGAGCATTATCACCCCTATCGTCAATCCATCAGTGTTAGGAGAAATTATCATAAGTGGCAAGCAATATATGATCACAAATTCTTGCATCAGAGGTGACAAGAAAGGAGTCTCTGGTGCAGGAGTGAAGAAGGCAAAGGTATATCAAACTTTGAAATAAGCTTCCATAAGGAGAGAAACACGACACGTTTGTACCTTGGACACAGTAGGCATTTTCTCGAGTGATAAATTTACAAACACTACAAGCATAAATTTCGCAACATATTTTTGCGTGACTTCCCTTTCCCTTCCACAAGAGACTCCCATGGAAGAATCATCATCGAACAGCCTTCAGCATTCCATCGAAGGATGTGAAGCCATGGTACTCCTGTTTTCATCTTTTTTCTCCCGTCTTGTTTTCATACCGTGCACGTACACCACTCTCTCCTGGATAGTTCCCGTATCCCCTGTCCAGAATGAGATCGCCGTCTTGAATTGCGACAGAAGGACCATCTCTGGTGAGACCTGGGCCAACCCTTCCTATTTTAGCGTTCTAAGGTAGAAACACTAGGGATTTTTGGATATCTGCTCGAAGACAAGAGTTGCGACGACACTCTCCTGCATCAACCAGTTCTCGCGGGTCGGCATCGCGTCACTCGCTTGCTCCTACCAGCTTGAATTCACCTCGAATTGAAAGTGAAATTTTTGAAAGTTTTATTCTCCAGGACAGATTGGGGAACTCCTTTCTTTGGTCTGAGCTCGACTTTCAGCATGCCACAAATATTTAATCAGAATTTGCTGGAAATGATGTGCCAGAGTGCCTCACTGCAGTTCTTTTTTAATTGTTAAGGCTTTTAACCCTAATCCGGGCAAGGTGAGTCCGCTGGACTCACTACGACATATTTCGGTCTATTACTGTCATTATTTTTTTCGTAGAAAAATGAGCTTTCGTGACTTTGTCACCTTGTTCGTGCTCTTCAAAAATACAAAGAAATTTTTGTTGTGCGGCTTTTTGTTTACCGTAACCGCAGTAAACGGCCTTATTTTACATGTGAGTCTGACAGACTCACCTTGCCCGGAATAGGTTGTAAAAAAGCTTGCCCGGATGAGGGTTAAAGGGATTAGTGTAAAGACCCACAATGAAGTAAAGGGAATCCCCTTAACACCAATTCCGAACTAGGATTAAGATGGCCTTTCGTGTTTAACCTGCTGTAATATGGTCGCAAAACACCGGAAAACATGGTGTTACACTAACACCGTAAGGTGAGTTAAAATTCGGTGTTAAGGAGTGGAATTGTGTTACGCGGAACACTAACAAGAAACACCAATACCGAATTAGAACTCGTCCATTGTGTGATCTGAATTTAATGATTGATTTCACTGTGTATGACCGGATAAAAGTTAAGATACTGTACACGAGTCCATTTTACAGGTGCATCCCACCAGCCAAACTAAGTAAGCCCTCTAAACTCAACATGAAATTCTGAAATCAGCAGATGTAGTTCATTATCGATAGATTCTCTTTTCAATTGCAAGAGCAGAGCCTTTCAATGCTTGGTGTTTTTTTCCTAAATGGGAAATAGTTTTGAAACAGGGATCAATCCTTTCATTTTTGCAACACTATTACTTTACCAGTGGCATCATGGAGGAGTAGAAGGTAATGTCCCACCAGGAGAACAGAGTCTCAAGTGGAATGAAGCCTTGGACCTGGAATTTGGTTCATACATTTTTTTTTTGTTAACAGGCAAGGGCTCCAGCCATATCCAGATTTCCCCCCCTCTTATTGTAGGGTATGGCACTGTATTGTGCTACCTTCCAAAGCAGAAGAGACTTTTAAACACGAGTGTACCTCCCCAGCTTCCAGACAGCTGTTAGCAAAATGATATAGTGAAAAAATATAACATTTTATTGTGCAAAATATCACCTTCCTGTCATGTTTCCCATATAAAATATTCGTTAAAAAATATCCAAAGCATTCAGAACATAGCATCACCTTAGTAGTACCATATTCCCAAAAAGTTATAGGAAATGCACTAGCAATGAGAAGAAAAGAACACATCACCAGAATGACCTTATGATGTATGAAATGCATGAAAGGAACAATAATTCATTTTAGTACTTTGCTTCAATAGTTGCATGGAGAAAATGAGACCAACAACCAACAAATTTTATGTTTCTCATGGCCTCCTTGAGAAATGCTAACTTTTGCTTTTAGTGCACCACATTTATACAGAAAATCTTGCACCTTAAACCTAACAGCCATGGTAACCTAATCTGTTTAACACTTTGAGCCCTGTACCTATCATATGATAGCTTGAGCTCTCAGTGCATACAAATTTTGGGGACTGAAGGTGTTACATGAGACAAAATCAGCTCCATGCTGCTGTCAAAAATACAAGTAAATAAAATATAAAATAAAAAGTAAAAAGAATCACTCCTTAGATATGATTGATTCTCAGGCATTTCCCAGCCTTGCCCTCCACAAGGGGTACATGTTTCTTTCATTCCAGTTTCTGTTCAAGATATCTATTGCTAAAGCTATTTAGTGAGATACAATAAACAATCAAGTAACAAGATGCCTGCAGTTCAGGTCATGGATGCACCATGATACAAAAGCCCCTATCTTAGCTTTCTTCCTCCCTTTCAAACCCATTTGTAAAACCTCCTAAAGGGCCCTTCCAATATCCTATAATGCCATATGAGAGATCAATTCAGCCCAAGAAATACTACCAAAGCTCATCCATCACCATGAGGGTTCTAATTTTCCCACATCTAAAGATGAAGTGCTACTGATTTCTGGCTTAGCCTTGTATGATGCTTCATGAAAGTCATGGCTATCTGAATAGGAACATTTTGCATTGCTTCTTGATGCATGACCAAGCACAAATTCTGTTAACATACTTTCAGCCAAGGCAGGTCCTAACTCTGAAGGACTAACAGAAAGCAATGAACATTTTGAATCTGAAACACCCATTTCAGAATTTAAACAAGAAGTCAATGTTTCAAGTTCAT